ATTGCAACTCAAGGCTTGAATTTGGGTTTTGGTCCTGTCAGCTTAGGAAATATTAAGTGAACTCTTTCCTTTTTAATTCTCTGACTTCAGCTCTTAAGAGTCTAGGGATTTTATTTGGAGTCACTCAAGTGAGCACACAGCACCAAAGTGGCTGGCCTCAGCTCCTCAGACTCCAGTATCCTCTGCCCTTGTCAAAACTAGGTATTCACCGTAAGCCCCATTTCAGAAGGCCAGCTTCTTGTTGCACTTCACTTTGTTGTGCTTTGCAGATATTCCTTTTTTTACCAAATTAGATGTTTGTTGCAACTTTACATCAAGAAAGTCTACTGGTGTCGTTTTTCCAACCAAATGTGCTCACTTTGTGTCTCTATGCCGCATTTGACAATTCTGAGTTTAGGTTGAACTTTTTCATCATGTTCTTGTCTATTCATTAGACCACAGTACAGTGTAAACAAAACATTCATATGCACTATCAATTGGAAAATTCATAAGACTCACTTCATTGCAATATTAATTTTATTACAATGAACTTAAACTGTATCCATAGGCTCCAAGATATATATCTGGTTAAGTACCCACCTGCCAACCTAGTAGTCAGTGGTCCAAACTTACCAGCCTTCTCTAAAACAGAAAGCTATGACAGCTTGCTTCTGCAAAGATTTCAGACTTGAAAACCTATGTGACAGTCCACTTGCCTCCAGGGTTATTAGGAGTTGAAATCAAATGGGTTGCAATGGATATGTTTGTTTATTTGTTTGTTTGTTTCATTTGGTTTGGTTTGATTTTTTTTATTTCATCTTCTCATTCTTGTACTATGTAGTCCAAGGCCTCAGGAGTACAAAAACATGTATTGCTATCAATGCAGGTTGGTCCTCAACCTCATATATATGCGACTCTCTTATGAGACAGGATATTTCAAAGACTCAGAGATTATTTATCTCCAAGAGCTGGTGGAGGGCTAATCCTAAAAATAAGTCTTTTTTGAAATGTTCAAAGTTTAAGAAACCTAAAATTTCTGAGTTATCTTTCCTGCAACTAAAAATAAAATAAAACAGCCAGGAAGAAGAATATTCCAGGCAAGACAGGAGATATAAAATCCTAATTTGCCCCAAGGAACTCTTATGGCCTAGTCTGGAGAAAGTTGTGCTGTTAACTACTCAAAGGCTGCATGACTCCAGTGGTTTGAATCCACCAGGTGCTCTGAGGAAGAAGGGTGGGCAGCCTCTTTCTGTTAAGGTTTATAGACAAGGAAACCCTATTATGACCAATTCAACAGCAGTAGTTTGAAATCTTAATTTACCCTAATTACAGACCCCCCAGTTCTATGGTATTTTAAGACAGAGAATGGGGGAAATATACCTTAATAGCAGAAAGAGGACAAATAGGAGCTCAGGGGAGTGCTTCAGAACATGGCACATCTGTTGCCTTCTTGCCACTAGTTATTCTCACCCTGAAAGGACAAAGTACAAGAATCTGATTTGAAAACTCAATGGAAGGTCTCCATGAGTTTAAATCAATTTTACAGGACTAGAGTCTTTATTTGTTTGCTTTTAAAGCAGGATGTATTTTAATGAATCTGGACTTAAGAATGTATCAAGTTCTAAAAGAGCTGAATAGGGGACATTCCAAGCCAGGGACATTGTTCCCAGAGCCAGATGGAATAAATACTTTTCCCAAAGGAAGTTATTCAGAGAAATCAACCAGACATTACAGTAAAGCAAAAATTAGATCATCTCAAGAAATTAACTGTTGTGAGCGTGGCAAAGTAGAGAGCAAAAACACAGTGGCAGGTTGTATGTGACATCCAGTTGGAACAGACTCATAGCTGACCCTCCACTGGGTTTTCAGAATGTTTATGGGAAGAGACTACCTATCTTCCTTATCTTTCTCTCACAGAGCAACTGATTGATTCAAACTGCATGGCTTTGGGTTGGCAGCACAATTCTTTACCTAATAGGACAACAGAGTTCTCTTAATGTCAGCAAACACCCTGAGAAGAATCAAAACTTGTAGGCTGTACAAGGAGTAGAACTTCCCAAAGCACAATATGTTTCTTCAGTGGATGGGCCTTGAATTATCCTATTATGTATGGGCTTTCATTAATTCTTAGTGGCAATTGAAATAGATGGGCTCTTGGGGCATAGTCGTAAGAAGCTGTGCTGCAATCCTGAAGGCAGACAGTTCAAATCCACCAGAAAGCATCTCTGCTGGAGAAAGATGGGCAATCTCCTCCCTTGCAACTAACCGGCTCTGAAAACCTTTCAAAGGGTCAGCCATGGGCCAGTTCTGGCTCAACAGGTGCACAGCAAAAACAGTAATTGAAATCTAATTACAGACATTTACTTTAGCATTATTGTAATCTATAACATATTTTACCCCAAACTGAACTCCTTTACAGAGCTTTAAATCACAGGAGAGAGTCCCTCTTTCTCTCCTGGAGCATCTAGTGGATTCAAATTGCTGGATTAAGGAAATGGTCACTGTCTGTCTATCTATCCACTCTTACCCTATCCTCTTCCCAAACCCCCATGACAGACTTGCTTTATAACAGTGGTGCTATGCAGTATTTGTCCTTTTGTGACTGATATATTTCACTCAGCATAATGTCTTCCAGGGCCAACCATGTTGTCTAATGTTTTACAAGTTCATTGTTGTTCAGTTATATGTAGTATTCTACTGTGTAAATATACCATAATTTTTCTATCCATTCATGTGTTGGTGGGCACTTGGGTTGCTTCCATGTCTTTTCTATTGTAAATAAGGCAACAATAAATATGGGTGTGCATATATCTGTTTGGATGGCAATTATGGCTTCTTTAGAGTATATTCCCAGTAATGGAACTGCTGGTTCAAAATTATATTTCTATTTCCAACTTTTTTTAAAAACTGCCAAACTACCTTGCACAGTGGTTGCACCATTTTACACTGCCACCAGCAGTGAGTAAGGGTTCAACTTCACAAGCATTTATTCTTTGCTGCTCAGTTGAATCTTGCTATTGTTGCTGGGGTGAAATGATATCTCCTAGTTGTTTTTATTTGCATCTCTTTGATAGCAAGAGATTATAGCATTTTTTATATGTTTGTTTGCCATCTGAATGTCTTCTTTG